AGGATTCTCATATACTGCTTTCACTTAACTGGGGGCCTTTGCACTCCAGAAACATTTTAAATTACACTCTAAGTTTGAGTTTGGTTTGAGGGAGGAAAGCATAAAGTTTATGGTTTCAAAATACGAGTATAGACTTCTGTTTAAAAATGTATCAAGAAAGTCTTTCTTAAAATTTTTATTTATTTATTTATTCTCAAAGAACCAAAGCTGAAAACTGCACTTCTAATGGGTTATTATGTGTCAGAGATCCAAGACTCCTACAGAATTTTTAATTTGATCTTCCACAGTGGCCCCTTATTTACATGGCTTACTCAAACTGAGATCCTAGGCCACCAGTAACTACCATAGGAATTCAGGAAACTATTCTATTTCATTGCTTGCTCACTCATGTGAATTCTATTTTTTTTGTCTTAATCTAAATTTTTTCTGAAACATTTCTTTATTGCTAATACAGCTGTGCATTAAAAATGATTCTTTGATATATTTTTAATTGTGATAGATTGGAAATAGGAATGGTATGTTCTGAGAACATTTAATTAAAGTTATAATAACTATAAGTCCCATAGGAGGGAAGTTTCATCTTTTTGTTTGTTTCTCAAGATGCCTTAATATATATATTCTAGGATTGCATTTCTTAGCTATATATTAAAAGCTATTTCTTCCTTGGTTTGTTGTTTATAGTTTTAACTTTGTTAATGGTGCTATGTATTTCTTTTCCTGATACAGAACTTTTAAATTTTATATAATCAAATATATTGATCTTTCCTTTTATATTCTCTGCCTTTTATGTTATGCCTGAAATTTTTCTGTATTGATGAAACTATTTGCTAGTTATTCCATGTAGTTATTCCTGGAATACATTTTTCAAGAACCCATTTCCTTAATAGAATATAAATGACTTTTTATGTTATACTAAGTAGTTATATATATTTAAAATATATGTTTTAACATATGTGTTCTTAAACTATTATATTAAATTATAGAATATATATTTATAAATATGCAGTAAAAATACAGTTCCATGACAAGTTCTTTTTTTTTTCCCTTCATTCATTCATTTTGTTTGTTTATATAGAAAGATTGAATGTTGTCCTACGTTTCTTGAAGCCTTGAGGAAACAAAAGAGGGAAAGTTGAACATAATGAAACTCTACATCTAGGCACAACTGATAAGTGAGCAGCCAATTATGATTTAGTATGCTGTTGTTTTCGGTGACAATCTATTTAGCATGGAAACCTGTATGGTAGATATATCTCTTCCAGGAAGCAGTCAGGGAAGGCTTCCTAGAAGAAACTACTTGAATTATGTATTTTTGATTTGTGTTTGTTCACTGGAGATGGTAGGGAAGGACATAGATCAAGAGAGAGAAAGCCAAGCTAAGGAAACACCTGTGATGTTTTCAGCAGAGAAGGTCATGGGTTATTTGAGAAATTAAAGACAAAGTGGTTAAATTTGGGGAGTATGGAAGATGGTGATGTGCACGTGCTGCCAAATAAAGTTAGACAGGCAAAAAAGGCCAAGGGAATTGTAGGTATTCTCCTGAGAGCAACAGGATTCATTGGAAAACTTGAAACTAGAGTAATGTGATCAAATTTGTTTTTTCAGAACAACATTAGTACTGTAGCCTTTTCATACTAGGTGGAAAGTAGCAGAGCCTGAAGAGAGAGGAAGTCATTAAGAGGGTATTGCTGCAATGTAGATGAGAAATAATTGTGGCCTAATGAGTGAAAGGAAAGTGGCTGTGGAGGGATATGGGCTCATTGGAGATTTCAGAGGCAGATGGATAGAGAGGGATCATAAAATGGTAAAAGTGAGAGAATGGAAGGAATCATGGATGTCACCGACACTTCTTTCTTGAACAACTGGTAGATGGATTTGCCATTATCTGAGTTAGGTGACAGAAAGAAGGAGGTGCTGTTCTAGGGGGGAAATAAATAATTTTGAGGGAGATTTTGAAATAGTCGTTTATAAAATAACCCAAGTGAAAATGTACCATGTCCTCTCATTTTCATTCCAAAAATCACCTCTAGTCTCTCACATTCCTCTTATTTATCATCAGTACTTTGTCAGTGATTCTCAATTGGTCTTCCCATTTTTAGTCCCCCTGATCCTTCTTTTCATTTTTGTGGCTTTGTTCATTCTCTTCCCTCCCCCAGATCTTCTGCCTACTTAACTGCTAAAGCTTATCCACAGGAACACCTTCATCCTAAGTACCACCAACCTCTAATATCATTTCTTGATGATTATCATTTGATTTAAATATGTGGTAACTTTGTACAAAAGTCATGGGCATTGGACATGACAAATCCACTTCTGCCATATACAGACACTTTGCTGTTTAGCAAGTCCACTACTCTAAACTTCTGTTTCCCCCTTTCTGTTGAATGAGTAATAAAGACCTTGCTGGTTGTGATGGGGAGACTTAAAGTTGTACAGTATCTGACCCCTAGCAGGTATATAATAAATGGTAATGATTACTAGTATTAAGTCTTCAAATCACTTCTCTCAGTCTGTTGGCATTATACTCTTATTTTTGTGTCTCATTCTATGAGGACAGGGACAATTTCTTGGTTATCTTCACAATAATTAATAAAGGCAAGCATATGTATGGAAAAATATATAGCATGAATAAGTATTTTCAGCATGAGGGTCTCTAAGAATAATAGAACTATTGTAGAAAACAAACTTACTTAAGTGGACAAATTTCCTATTGTGTGCTGTGAAGTGCTGAGAGATGCTCTCTTCTACCCTGAATCCTTCCAGCCTGAACTGCAAAGATTTTAAATATGTTCCACAATTCTATTCTTGTGAGTAGTAATTTTGGTGGTTATGCATAAATCAAATATGCAATAGAGGACATTTCAAGTGGTTGTATACACAATGATGTCAAGAATATGCTATAATTTTTATTGAATATCATCTGATTAGCATTTTTTTTGTTTTTAGCTTTGTGAAAATTTATTCTAGCAAAAATGAGTATAATAATTTCTAATGGAAATATTGTTCACCTGGGTTCTCCAGTATCTAGACTGAAAATTGGCCTCGTTTCTTGTTAGAAGAGTTGCTTGTGGCCTTTGGATTGGAAGATGCCTGGATTGACCAACCTGTTGCCAGCATGTGGCTACAGTGAGAAGAAACAGGGGAGATCTGCAGATTTTCTCTCCTAGGGGGAGATCCCTCTGCCTCCTTCTCCCAGTGACTAACGGGGAAGCTGGAACATACAGGATGGTGGATATGCTCTTCTTAACTTTGGTTGGCTTGTTCATGCCAGTTCAGGGGACAGTTGTGAATGGGAGTTCAGGCTTTGAGGTCAGGCCTTTGTGGATCCAAATCCCATTGCTGCCATTTCCTCCAATTGTAATCTTGAAATGATAATATAGATTTTTGAGCTCAAGATGTTTTGTATGTGTATATTGTGTACATGCATGCATGTGTGTGTAAGGTGTTTTTTTTGTTTTTTGGGATTTTTTTTTTAGGTTTTGACATTTTAGTTTCCTTTGAATATAAGTTACTTTTTGCAAGCTAGGAATCCAAATCAAACTATGGCAGTCTAGTGCTCTAGAGATCCAGGCCAAATCTATATCAGAATGACATAATAATACAAGGTGCTAACAATGAGGCTACAAAATCTAAACAATTACTTATTTACATTTTTATTTAGAGAGTAGCTGTAAGTCCAGTCCTTAAAAGCATGATATACAGAACATCTTAATCTATAAAGAATATAATTATTCAAATTATATGGTGCCTAACCTGTTGATGAACCAGATCAGAGCTGACCAAGGAATGGGGAACAGAGGAAGTATTTACATTTTGAAAACCTGCTCTAAGGTTTAAAAAATTCTTGGTTGCTCTTAATAAGAATGCAAGTAAAAAATATTACAGATGCATCCACACCAATATTTGGTTTTTGCCAAGGTCTTCCATTAGAACATGAAGTTAGAGCATAACGGATAAGATAGATATTTTCAAAATAAATTACTTAGGAATAAGACATTTGACATACTATGTTCTTCCATTTGCCACAAGAAAGAAATGACAATAAAGACTATTTAAAAGACATGCTCTACTCTGAAAAGGGTCGTGGCAGAAATACTTCCCACCACAGAATAACCTCCTGCTTTTTCTCATTAATATTTTCATTTTTCCATGTGTCAACATAAGAAATGCCCAAACCTATAAGAATTTTTGTGAATTTATTTGAGTCAAATTGACAAAAATTGTTGGGAAGCAAAATTTAAAGGCATTGAGAAAATGCTCCTGATAATGCACCTTACTTTATACATCAGAATTAAAGGGAAAAGTCATAAGGGGGAGAAATGAAAGTCATCGATAATAGATTAGGGAGGCAGGAGAAAGTGGGGAATCTCTGGGGTTGGATAAAATGTAAAAGGAAGAGACACTTCTCTTACATAGATGGGTACAGGATAGTTAACAGTCAACAATTAACATGCTAACAGTAATGATGAGGAGATCTGTGATCTCCCTTGTTATCTACTAGATGCAAAAAGACAATAGACAGGCTCAATTAAGGTAAAGATTAATTTTGCCAGGAAAGATTCTAGCCTAGGACATGACTACCAGCCATAAATTGCTTTTAGTTTAGTTAAAGTTTCAATTCAAGACCATCCTGTGTGGTTACTTTAGGTCTCTGAGTTTGTAAGGCCACCAGCCAGGCCTCCCCTGAGCTTGTTATGTTTAGTATGTGACCCTTTTTTTGTCCACACATGATACAGGTTCATGTGGAAAAACTCATCAGTTTTTTGTCAGGGCCAGAAGGTAAAAAATAGAGCATGCCCTAATTAGCTAATTGTCAACTCAGTTAGCATCTTTAGGAATGATTCATAAAGCCTGGCCATTATTTTGTTAAACATCTGCAAACTGCAGAATTCTTTAGCCCTTAGCCATAGTTACTGCTCAATATCTTAAAGCTGAGCTCAGTCCCATCTGACTCTGCTCCTCAGAGCCGAGGTGGGTGCTAGTCATCAACGTCTGGAATGTCATCGTAGAAGTAACCTCAGTGGCCTTAAAATGTGTAGTAGGCGATGTGCATACAGGTGGTAAAATCCTGGTAGGAAGCCCAGGATGCCAATGATCAGAGAAGGACCCACAAGATCTGCCCCCACTTTACTGATATATCTGCCAACAGGAAGGAGTCTACAATAATAAGATAGGTGACAAATCAGAAACAGCACTGTAGCAAGCTCGATGGCCTTATATGGAATCTTAGGAGGACTTTTCTTAAACTGAAGGTCAATGTAACCATCATCCATGCTGGAGAGCCTCGAGTTTTACACTTCACTACTGGGGATTCTGGTAGCCAGGTTGGTATGAGATGGCATCACAATGCACTGACACAGCTACAGTCAGAGTTCCCCAGCAAGTTGCCCTATTCCTACAGCTTACCCATAGTTGGCAACAGAGACACTCAGCACATGGTTCAGCTAACCACCACCCACCCTGCCCTGTCCTGCCCAGAGCAGCTCAGAGCTGGAAATGGCTGTGTGAGCCTTTATGATAGTGCATTACCCAAGCAGGTAAGGCAGCTGGATTTTCTTGTTCCTTGGAGATCTAGTTGAATACATATTGTTCTTCCAGTCCCAAGGTCTTTGAAATTTGAAAACTCTCCCCTAAGGTTTTTATAAAATTTCCTCATTGGATCTTCTTCTGGTCTCCTCTTCCTGCAGTGCCTGTGTTCATAATTATTGCTACTGTTTCATTCCATGTCCATCAGAATGTAAAACTAAGGCATTTGCATGCATGTATGGGGTGAGCAGAAGGAGCATGGCAGTATCATAAAGGGATAACACTGTGGGTCTTTATCCAGGCCTCCTTTCTTCCTCTCTTCTCCCATTTCTCAGCTAAGGCTTCTTGCTCCATAATGATTCTCCTGAGCTCCAAATCAAATTTCCTCTGTTATGCAGAATAGTAGCTTTTTATCTGTCTCCTATACTCACACATCCAAAATATCAAGGTTGTCTGCAGTACAAAGGGTTCTCTCCTTAATAAGATTCACCCACTGGAGAAGGTAGTAGGGTTGTGTCACCCTTTTTTGGTATTTCTCTTCTCTCTCTCCCTCATCTTTCCCTTGTACACACACACACACACACACACACACGTAAATCACGTAAGTCATACAAGCATTTACACACATACATCTTATAAGAATGATAATACTGTATCAGTTGATTTGTCCACTTGCAAATATTTAATAGCACCTATATGGAAAAATTAATCAGCAAACTGCTTGATGAAAATTTATATTAGTCTCCCCTTTGCTTTTGATGACCAAATAATAGCTATCCAAAGATTAGCTTTGGGCTACAGTTATCTAGACTCTGGGCACAATGTATCAGCAGAACTTTGGTGGGTGTTGTGATCCAAGAGGCCTGGCAAATGAAACCCTGCTTCTTTAGAGTTCTCTCATCCCTTCCCAAGGCACCCTCTATGTCCCAGCCTGTCTGAGAGCTCAGCGTGGCTCATTCCTCCATTATCTGCCTCAGTCCCCAGTCTCATCTGGGTGCCACGGGAGGGCTACTGTGATTGCTGGGAATGTAGACTGACAGAATGGTTAAGACCTAAGGGGAAGCTCAGCTGCTGGGTGAAAGAGAATAAAGGGTATGACACAAATTGGCTATGCAGTCTCTTTTTCTTCTTTTTGATGATGCCTCTGGGGAGAAGTACCATTATCCAAATGTGAAAAAAAATTAAAAATGCAAAAAGGATGGCAAAGAAAAGGAAAATGCTTCATTTGCTTTTTTGAAAAGGACCTGTCTCTTTCCTTGCTGCATGCATGGTCTGACCCGTACCACAGCATCTGAACCTGGGCATCCGATGGGGGTGGTCTGGGCCTATGCAGCTCCCTCATTTGAGAACTAATATTTCCATTCAGCCATGCAAAGGGCTGTAGTCTGTCTATCTGCCTGCCTTTCTTTGTCACCCTGAAACCGTATTTGTGCTAGGGAACTTACCTGTACCTTACCTAATCTCAAATGTCCCCTTTACCTTCAACATTAAAATTCCTCTGTGGTTCCACACTTATTCTTACAATTCTTGGGATGAAAATATCTCTGGTTCCTATCACTAGAAATGCACTTTAAGTTTATTATCATTTTACAGTCTCCAGTTCCTGGGTTGTCTTTGTATCAAGATACAAATATGAAAAAAAATTATTATAAATATATTAGCTCAGAATAGTATAGAAAAAGTAATTGGAAGAAACATGAGGTGAAAAGGTGTAAACATATTAAAACAGAAACTACACTGTTCCACTGATAAGGGATTTCTGCTCTGTTTGTGTAGAGACAATGTATTTTTTGGAGAGAAGGAATGATACAGTATTTTTGGTCATATGTGAAGTTGCTTTCTAAGAATAATCATCTAATGTCCTGCTTAAATCCCTCAGTCCCTTTGTTTTGATATAGAATAAGTAGAGATAAGTTCATATGCTAGTATTTTGGGAGCTAAAGAGAAAAATGATGTAGTCAAATGGAGAACAAGTCTCTCCCAACTTTCTTTGATCATTCCAGTGTGACTTGCGTACTGGCTGACACCACGGAAATTTAATTCCTGTTTTACATAACAGCTGGGAGAGTAAAGGATCCTAACTCAAAAGAATTTGACTTTTAGGGAGGGTTCATTGTCCTGATGGATGTCTAATATGGATTTCTCAGAGGGAATCCCCTGCCTCTTATTTTGATCCAGTCTTGCATGTCTGTCATCATGATGAAGAAATTATACCTCTTGTCAACAAGAAACATAATTTTTCTCAATCAGACTTTTATATATAGGAAAGTTGACATTTTCTGGTTTAGAATTTCATCAGTGAAGTGAGGGGTGGCTTAAGGGAAAGATTAGACTAAAAGAAAGAATGATTCTGTGGTCCCATCTTCTTACACAGCTTATAACCCTATGAGGAAATTGATCTAAGACCTGGTTCCGCTAGTGAAAAGGAGATTTGCCTAGTCTACCTCAGAGGGCTTTCATGTGGATTCACTCAAATGAAATAATATGAAAAAAGATGTATGCTTAATAAAATATTATAATTTTGTAATCCTTTTATTATGACATACCAAATACATTCAAAATAATATATTTATTATGAAGCATAATAAAACACTAAAACACCACTATTAAATAAACATTTTAATTCACAATTAATATAAACATTTTAATAAACAATTAAATTAACATGATTTACTGAACAAACATAACAGAAGTGTGAGTGTAGGAAATGATAGTTGGGAAAGATGCCAACTACCATTAGACTAAATGAAAAAAAATAATCAAAATATGAATAGACTTGAGTTACTAACTGAATTAAATATAACCTTTGGTGGATAAGTATAAAGCCATGGACTGAAGTTCAGGGAAGCAGTACATGAAGACAGGATGGCTTGATGCATAGATAGCTGTGAATATTTAAATAGTGTAGGACAAATATGAGCTGAGAGTGTGCTCCAGAAATGCATGAAGTGCTGGCATGAGAAAACTGAAAGGCTGGCCCACTGTCTTCACCTGACATCCCTGTAGCTAAATGTTATTCTCTCCAGAAAGTCTACAGAATAGTGAATTTTGGAATAGCAAGAATGTGTATCTGCATTTTAACTGGAAAAAAATTTTGTGTTCCCATTTTAACCAAAAATTTAACCATGGTTCTCAGTAAAACTACCCTTACATACCATATAAGAATCCATCAAGTAGTCATGCAAACATAAAGAATTTAACACACCATTTACCCCATTATTTAACAATGAACTTATTTGTTTGTATTTTTATGTGCAAAAACAGCATACAAATTAAGTTTTCATTTTATAATTATTACCTATTTTGATGTGCTTTATCATTCCACCTTTTATTCTGAAATATTTTATTTTTAAGATATTTTATCCTGGCTGGGTAGCTCAGTTGGTTAGAGTGTTGTCCCAATACACCAAGGTTATAATATTATAAAATATTATAATTTTGTAATCCATCTCTTATTAGGGCTCATACAAGAAGTAACCAGTGAAGGTGTAAGTGGAACAACAAATCAGTGTTTCTCTCTCAAATTAAAAAAAAAAAAACCCACAATTAAAAAAAGGCCTTTTAGATTCACTATCTCTAAAGGCATTTCTACTTCTATAGGAAACATATTAACTTGAAAACTGTGGAGGTAATTGATAGTGATAATGAAAAATCCATTTTAAAAGCAAAAGCAGATGCTCATTATAAAATAAATAGTTCAAGGCAATTGCAGCCCACTCTGCTTTCTTTCACATAGTCTGACTTGAAATTAAACATTCAGTGATGTGTATAAATAGATTTGAAAGTAGGATTTATATTTGGACAAAGACCTTTGGGTAAAACATTGCAGAATGAGAGTGCCTGAGTGAAAGATATCTATATTGGGTCAGTTTGTAGCACTGTGAAGGGTGCATTAACTACCATGTTATATGACTTGGTAATTCTTTTCATTTTGCTGGACTCCAGTGCCTGGAACATAGTATGGGCTCAATAAATACTTGTTGAATTACTGGCAAAGAAGTAGACTATAGACCAGTGCCTAGAGGTTATCATTAAAGAGTTATCTCCATAAAGGAAAACTTTGTGACAATTATAGATGCTAGAGAAAGTGTGAGATGATGTATTCTCTGTCTCCAAATGTATCCTTATGGAGGAGGGAATTTTCCTATGCTGCTTAATTCCTCAGGTATAATTTTAAATGCCACAGCCAAAAAGCTTTTCCCCCCAACTGATATCTTTAATTACTTGGTCAAGAGTCTTCTCATTCTTATTCTTTTTATAGTAAAAATTATTAATCGAGTTACTATCTACCCTACTTACTCTGTGACAAAAAAATACAATCCAATTTATAAATTTCTCAAAGATTCATTTTGCATTGCTCTAATCATTTTTGTTATTGTCAACGTTTTCATGTTTTTAAGATATCTTTCCTTTTTACTTACAGCCAACATGGAGGTGTATGTAGGTACTTTGCCTCCTTGCACAACCAAAAAAAGTACAACAACAAATTTAAAAACAAAAAAATAATCAGAACTGCCAGATAATCAAACTGTATGGAAGTCAGACAACCAAAGGGTTAAAGAGGAAACATTCATCTAGACTTGTAGGAGGGGTGGAGATGGGCAGCCGGGGCATAAAGGATGCCCAGAAAGGTGGTGGCTGGAGGACCAGGCAGGTGAGGAGGTGGCTGGCAGACCAGGTGGTCCTACATTTGTGTGCGGATAAATGGGGAGGAACAGCTGGGGAGAGAGACAGACCTCACAATCCA